TGAATGTAGTCACGTTTAGGGAGATTATGGAGAGAGAATGTAGTATGGGTGTTGATTCAATGCTGCAATTAAGGGAAAGGAAAGAGACTTCAGCTGACTCATGCACTTGAATGGGTGGTAAAGCAGCCCAGCAAGATAAGTACACAAGAAAGCCACTGGGTTTGAGAGAAGAACGTAATATATTAGTTTTAAAATGCTGTAGGATGCCCAGTGGGAAATGCCTAATGAGCATCTAGATATAAGAATGTGAATTCCCGGATAGAAATGTGGACTGCAGATGCAGATATGGGTGTTATCGTATTATCAATAGCAAAAGAAGCCTTAGCCAAGGAGAGGAAAACTCTGAGTGTGTGAAGCAAAAAAGAGAAGAGCCTCAAAGATGGAGCTTTGAATATCTTAAGAATTTTTAAAAGATTGAAGAATATCCACAAATGTATACACATTTGGCAGAGGATATTTTTATAGTACTTAAATATGCTACAAATATATCCAGGAATATAGTAGAGCATTGAGGTAGTTTGTTTATTGTGCCAACTTGGCCAATAAACACATGTGGGGTTAATTGAAGAGCGGAGGGATAAATGGCTCAGTGAGCCTAGCCTTTCTAGTTCTCGGTCTCTTGCTTTCTGATGGTCAGACCAGGGTGCAGCTGCCTTAGCCAGTTCCCTGCTTTAGCTGGCAAGGCTCACTTCATGCAAGACATCCCTGAGGAGAATCCACATGGACCTACCCCACTGCAGCCCTGGGTGCTGAAGCAGCCATGTGGATACCCCTGCCAGCACTGAGATGCTTACACGCTCACTGACTCGGCTTTCCTCCTGCAGTCGGCATCATTGTGTCTGTTTTGTGAGATGGAGGAGGACTTTGTGGATTGGTGTTGGACATATGGGTTAATGGGTAAATGTTGGACTTGTGGCCTTGGGTAGCACTGGGTTAGGATGTTTTCTTAATGTGCACTTAACATTTATATAAAACTCTCTCTTATACATGAGTTTCTATGGATTGTTTCTCTAAAGTACCCAGACTAATACAAGTATACATGGGGCAAAGTTATTAAAAAAAAATTCTTAGCAAGAAACAAAAACATTGAATGAATGAGTTACTGGGCCTAGAGACTCAGAACCACAGTCTCAGGAGACACCAAGGTCAAATAGCACAAAGACAAGGTTTTACATTCTACTTTGGTGAGTAGCAACTTCAATCTTAAAAGCTTGTGAGCAGTCATACAAAGTCCAACTATTAGTCTTTCCCTGTCCAGAGGAAAGTCAAGTAAAGAACATTGAAAGGATTTTAGTCAAAAGGAGAAATGGACCACATGAACCTCAGCCTTCACAATCCTGGGACCAGAAGAACTAGACGGTGCCTGACTACTGCTACCAACCACTCCAAAGGGATCACATTAAAAGGCCCTGGACAGAGAAGAAAAATGTGGAATAAACTTAAAACTTAAACAAAAATGATGGCTACCAATCTGATGGAACCCCCCAAGCTAGAGCCCTTAGTCACCCTTCACATCTGGTATTGAACTCACCCCAATAGCTCAATTTCAATCTGACAGTAAGACAGGTTTCTAAGGGTATCAATAACACTAGGGAGGCAAACAGATCAGCCATTTGAGATGAAAAGGCCTGCGCTGACCCAAGCATAAAGTTCAGAAGGGTTGGGATGAAAACAGGAGGGAAACCAGAAACACAGGGAGAAAGTGGGTAAGTGATGTTACGTTGCAGGCATTGGAATCAATGACATGAAACAAAATACTTATGAATCGTTAAATGGAAAATTGATTTGTTCTGTCAACATTTACCCAATTCACACTAAAAAGGGTTTCTGTAGTTTTAGATTCCATATAATGGATGAAAGGAGACAATCCACCCCCCACCCAGGCTAAGAACAACAGGTGAAGGGAGACAACGGACAGTATAAGATACGTAATAATAGTAATATATAATTGATCAAGGATTCACAAGGGGGGGAGGGGGGAAGGAGGGGAAAATGAGGAGCTGATATCAAGGGCTCAAGTAGAAATGTTTTGGAAATGTTGATAGTAACATATACAAGTGTGCTTAATACAATTGAATGATGGATTGTTATAAGATTTGTAAGAGCCCACAATAATATGGTTAATAAAAAAAGGAGACAATTTACTTATATGCTAATTCCAATAAGACACATGATGTGTATATATGTTTATACAAATATATATTTATATCACATACCTAAGTTTATATTACATATACAAATGTATATGTAAATTATGTTATATAAATGTATATTTATATATAATTTAAGAGGAGGTAGTGACCTCAACTACACTTCAGCTAGATGAAGAAGTTTTCAAAATGAAACGGTTTTGGACTGGGCAGAGAGACGAATGCAAAGGCCATTAGAAATCTGTTCCTTAAATACTGATTATAGATATTTCCCTGTTGCTAAGTCATGTAAAACATTGTGCTGATAGTCTAGATTATATAATGGGTTCTAAGCAATGTAACTTAAAAACAATTTACAATCACATAGAAAAACAATACTTACTTTGCCACGATGGTACCATTTAAACTTTTAGAATTCAAGGAACAATACAATGGTGTCTGCAAAGTAACTTCAAATTGTGGTAATACTGGAAAAGAAAAGCAGTGAAAAATCTTTTAACCAATGAATGTTATTATTATCTTCAACTTAACAAGTTAGGTAGCAGAGTCATACTGAAGGAGTTGAAAATTGGGACTATTTGAGCTTATATTCATAATCATATATATGTGTATGTTAACACATAAGATAAAGCCTATTCTTTCAGCTCAAAATTAGAAGTTCCTACTTTGATCAGATTATCATAGTTAGAATACAAAATATTTCTTAATGATTAATATTATTTGCTATAAAGCTGTCTACAGATTTAAATTTTTCATCTTCCAGCCTTTAAAAATATTTTTCAACTAACTTCACTGACCAAAGAAAGAAATCATGAAAAATTCTCATAACAAGGTATCTAACCATTAGATGAACATTAAATACGCATCAAGAAGGCCAGTGGGTCAACATTATAGGACAGAGTTCTAGGTCCAACCACTGAAGGCCATCAGTGACCCAAGAGACATCTGAACTCTAGCCCAGCTGAGGACAGGAGGGGCATAAAAGTCATGTGGGCCAACCATGACTCTCCTCCAAGGTCATCCAACAGAAGAGGAGCTCGGGCCAGAGGGAGACAAGCAGCACAAGGAAAGTCAAAGATCTGCTCCTGAACTTCGTAGGACGGTCATCAGTTCCCCACCACCATTGCCCATTCCACAACCCAATACCACCACTACATGAGATCAACATATCTTATAAAAACACTGGCCTTCTTTGACCCGTTCTTTTATAGTAACACTGCCCAAAAAACATAATATGAATCATACATGTAATTTTAACTTTTCTAGTAGTCACATTTTTAAAAGATAGTAAAATTAATTTTCACAATAGTTTATTTCAGACATCCAAAATATTTTCCGTTTAACAAGTAATCACTACAAAAACCATTGTTATTTTGCTCTTTTCTTGGACTAGATCTTTTGGAAAATTATGTATATTTTACAAGTGGTTGAAAACTCACCCTCATTGTTTTGAATCTGACTCACAGCCACCTGACAGGACAGAGTATCCCTGCCCCTAGGGGGCTTTCAAGACTGTCATCTTCACGAGAGCAAAGTGTCAGCTTTCTACCATGAAGCAGCTGAGGGATTTGAACTGCTGGCCTTGTGCTTAGTAGTACAATGCATAGCCCACTATGTCACCCACCAGAGAGCTCCTTTACAAGTTGTTAGTGGCCTACAACTCAAGAGTAGGAGTCGGCAAACCATGGCCTGTATGAGCTAAGAATGCTTTTTGCATTTTTTAAGAATCAAAAACAAGTCAAATGAAGAATATTTCGTGGCATGTTAAAATTGTATGAAATTCAAATTTGATTGTCCATAAGTAAAACTGGAATAGATCACAGCCACTCACATAATGTCTCCGGTTGCTTTCATGCTACAAACACTCATGACAGAGAACGGTGGCCCACGCAGCCTAACACATGCACTACCTAGGTCTCTGTAGAAAACCCTTTCTGATGATCCCTGTTCTACATGAGCATGAGGATTCAATCCAACACTGGTGTGTGCAGCCTGGGTGCCCAAATCACAGAGATGCAAGCAAACCACTTTGCAGAGTTTTTACGCTTGAATGAAATGCAACCCCCCCAAAGTAGCACAAATCAAATGGAAGCACTCCTCTATTGCCTCAAAATGGCTTTTTAGTTAGAAACGAATCCTGTGGCTCTAAGTGTTCACTTTTGCATCTTTTGCCTGCCTCTCTATTAACCAACAAAGTGGTTGGTTCGTGGAATTTTTATCTCTGTGTTTTCACTCGTGATATTACTGGGTGGCAGCTGAAAAAAGATGATTTACCTGCATTAAATACACTGCCTTATCAATGCTGAAAAAAAATATTAAAAGTACTACTTAGCTGAAAGAAAAGGCAAACAATAATTTGGTTTACAAAAAAAGCTCTGCTTTGAGCATTATGTTCTTTTAATAATTCTCTCTACTGGATCAAACTGACAGCAGTAACTTTAAAGATTATATAGGAACCTCCCTCTTGGGCAGTAAGTTTGTCTTAATGAGGGAGAAACAACTCAGATTAGGAGGAAGATAATGGTGGCCAACTCAGAACGTAATCCATGTCACTAAATTGTACATGTGGATATCGTTGAATTGCCATGTATTTTCTCAACAAGAAGAAAACAAATAAAACTTAGGGGGAAAAGATAGCAAGACCATGAGGCTGCTGCACAGCAAGCAACTCTCAAAACGAGCAAAGGTGGGAACAAAGGGCCTGGCTCAATGATGCACTGCACTGAACGAGGGTCGCTCTTGGCAGTTCTAGAAAGAACCGTCTACCACGTCAGACTTCTGAAAGGGCTTACAATGCCTCTTCCGATTCTCCCATTTTAGGCTTCAACTGGTCATTCTTCTTGTTCTGCTTCTCATTCCAGTAAGTCTAGATTTTACAAATTCTGATCTGACCAGTTTTATTGCATCAACTGTCGCTGAACGAGTTTGAACCAGTTTGAAGCCCTGGATAAGAGACAATAGTAAGAATTTCCATCCAATCACCTCTAGCTCCGTGATTCCATGTATGTCAGAGTAGAACTGTACTTGGTAAGGTTTTCAATAGAGAGGTAGAGAAAAAGCACACGATAAACTTTCAAATATGTTATGATCACAACAAAGTAGAAAACTGTGCATAAGAAAAAAGAGTAATATAATGGGAATGTGAGTAATTGTCCTTTTTTCTTTATAATGAATATCATTTTCAAATACACAAAAATATATTTAGACCTACAAGGAATACCAAGGGCACCACCGTCCCACAAAAGAAAACGAGGGTTTCTACCGCTCCCATCACACTGACCGCCTCGGAGACTCAAAAGGGCAGCGCTCCTGTTCAATGGGGTCGCTACACATCGGGACTGGCATGACGCCAGTGAGGTTCGTTTGTTGTTTGTTTGGTTGGTTGGAATATAAAATACCACAATTTGACCTCCATTTGGATTTTCACTTTAAATAATAGCTCTTGATTTCTCTTACCCATATGAAAATGTTCTCTTTCAAAAGACATTGAGGAAATCTTACCATATTCTGAAACCTGAAATGCCTGGTAATAGGTCTGGTCCTATTGAAAGAAAGAGGGGGAAAAAAGAAATTATTTTTAAATTAATTCATTTCCTTACTTACTTACCTCCCTGATAAGATTTAGCAAAGTATTTTGAAATAACATTTGTAATGACTTAATTAACAAAACAGTTTATTTGTGGCAGTTTATTTTCATTCAACTGCAAAGTAAAGCCTGTGAGTTTGCACAAGCTTTTCTTGTCAAAGCACTAACATCAAAAGGTGGCCTGACTAACCCAACCAAAGGAAGGGTATTGTTTATATCTCCACAGAGAAAGAGGGACCAGACTTCAACCCAGTGCTCCAGATGTGAATGCAACATACCGGCATGAAACAGGGAACCAGCAGCGAGGTCTGAGGGGCTGGCCCCAATCCCAACTACGTGGACAGTCGCCCCGCCCCTCAGAAGAATTCACTTCAGAGGACAGCACTGAAGCTACAGCTCAGGGAGAGGTTCATGCCTGATCAGAGCACACAGGAGCTAATGAAAGGGCAGGAAGAGAGAGTGGAGTGCATCCTGACCCACCAAGCCTTGAGGACGATATCCCCACTCAGAGCAGCCAATCCACAGAAAGGACCATATGGTTGACCCCACTATGAGACATGACATCCCTCACTGACCCATAACCCTACAGGGGACAACACTGGCGACATAGTGTGGGAATGGTGTCCAATCTGACCCCACCACACCGAGGAAAAACACTAAAGGCATGCAACAGAACAGCAAGGGGAACAGAGCAATGAAGTCCCCAGGGAACACCAAAAATAGACTTTGGGGCCAGAGCTGGCACCCCATCAGACCTGACCGGAAAACACTCCTAAGGGCCAACAATCAGTCCTTGAACTAACTACAGGCTGTTTTTTTCTCTTGTTTGTTTTTTGTTTTTTGTCTTTTTGTTGTTGTTGTTGTTGTTTTCTTTTCTTTAGTTGCTTTGTTTTGCTCTGTCTTGTTTTTTGTGCATATTATTATCTATGCAGGTGTATCTAGATAAGACAGGTGGGATAAACAATCTGGAGGAGAAAACAACAGGACC